TAGAGTTACGAATTTATTTCTGTCTTCATCTGCTAGGAATTAAAAAAATAATATTTCATCCCCTACGGCTTGCGAGTCCAAACCAAGGGTAGGGGGTTATTACCCACTCACATAGCAACTAAAAACCACCCTCACTTTGGTGTACAATCCCATGGTTTTAGAGTTACGAATTTATTTCTGTCTTCATCTGCTAGGAATTGAAAAAATCATATTTCATCCCCTACGGCTTGCGAGTCCAAACCAAGGGTAGGAGGTTATTACCCACTCACATAGCAACTAAAAACCATCCTCACTTTGGTGTACAATCCCATGCTTTTAGAATTACGAACTTATTTCTGTCCCCATCTGCTAGGAATTTAAAAAAATCATATTTCATCCCCTACGGCTTGCGAGTCCAAACCAAGGGTAGGGGGTTATTACCCACTCACATAGCAACTAAAAACCACCCTCACTTTGGTGTACAATCCCATGGTTTTAGAGTTACGGATTTATTTCTGTCTTCATCTGCTAGGAATTGAAAAAATCATATTTCATCCCCTACGGCTAGCGAGTCCAAACCAAGGGTAGGGGGTTATTACCCACTCACAAAGCAACTAAAAACTACCCTCACTTTGATGTATAATCTCACGGTTCAAGAACTACGGATAATTTTTTGTTCTGTTTGCTAGGCTAAGGGTAGGCGTTTGTTCAAATACCTTTATAATAACCAAAAAAGTCTTTAATCATCCGAATAAAATAGGATATTTTCAAATAAAAAATCATTAAAATATTAGGTGGACTATGAGACTAGGTTGGGCAGTGTATCTACGATCGGCTACCTTCGGCTTTGTCATCTGCTGTCTTCACACACGTATGTGCAAATTGGTGCAACTTATGTAATTTATTGCGGTTTCTGCCATATTGAAAATATGCATATTCCCATAACTACATTTCACTTAACCAAATGGCAGACGGGTTAAAAACGTTCATCATATAAATAATTTTTGTTGCAATTTTGTTCATTGTTTATTAGGACTTGTACCAGTCTGCAATTTCTGCCAGTCAAAACTTAAGCTTTTGGTAGCAACTTATTTAATATAAATTAATGGCAGACGGGAAATAATTGATCTCAAAGTTGAAAAATTTTGACATTTTGAAAAATTAAAAATAAATAACTGTACCACTTCAATTTTTCTGCCGGTGCAAAGGTACATTATTTATCTAAAATCCATTGTAACAAAACATGTTTTAGGCGGGAGAAAATTGTTTCAACATCTCAGCATTTTGATACAACTTCAAAAATTGTTAAATATTATTATACCAACCGAGATTTTCTGCCATTTGCTTATTGATCTCTTAATAGTAAATGCAACATAAATTTAATTTGGCAGACGGGAGGTCGTTGATCCACATGTCCGATTTTGGCGACATTTTGAAATTAGTTATATGACACTTTATACTAACTTAGGATTTCTGCCGTTTAGCTTCTTCCTACTCATTTTTGTTTAAATTACCTTCACAATGTGTGGCAGACGGGATAATATTGATCCAAAATCTCCACTTTTCATTACATTTTCAAATTAGCATATCATTGTATTGTCACACGCGGGGCTCTTTGAAATTTCAGCCATTCCATTTCTTATTGCCTAAAGAATAACCACCCTTAATGGCAGACGGGAGAAAATCGTTTTAAAAAAATGGTCGTTATGCACCGGTCTATTACTTATTTTATTTATTTATGAAAAGAATTTACTAAGCCCGCATACGGTGCCATCTCTTATAACCGATACCAAGTTTATTTTGTATTTTGTATACCGCGCCATCTCTGATACCTGGAACGAAGCTCGGCATTGCAGATACAGTAGAACAATGCTGCTCAGGAACTGGAGCTATTTCGAACAGAACTATTCCACTCTTCCGATCAGATAGAGTGGTGCAGAAAGAGTAGATCAGATAGAATAGTGCAGATAGAGTAGAACAGATGGAGTAGTGCAGTGCATGCAGTGCAGATAGAGTGAAACAGAGCTGCGCTAGAGATTTTTTTTTGTTTTCTTTACATTCTTTGAACATTCCTGTGCCTGAGTTTATTTATTTGGTGGTACACTTTACAATAATAATGCCCATAAGCTGCCTAAAAAAGGATGATGTAAAATTTTAATTTTAGGTGAATTCTGATCCAGAGAGTAAACATTAATTTTCTTCAACCAAAGCCAAATTCACCATCGAAAAAAACTGAATTTAATTCAGCTAATAGATACGTTAACACAACATTTAATAGGCATATTTAATAATTCAGAGGCGGTACGAAGTTCGCCGGGTCAGCTAGTAGATAATAGATTTAATTTTCCAGCAATTTGAGAATCTACAAGCGTGATAGTCGAACCTTCATCGCACAAGGCAAAAGTTTCGAAACTTTTTGAACCATTATGCAACCTAATTTTTGCAATCTTCAGTAATGCATGACTGTCATTTCTTATAAAGCAAGAGATTTGATTTTCTGCCTCTTTCAGATTTGCTTCTTTCTTCAAAGTCTCCTGGTGAACTAAAGTATTGTGTCTTCCATTGCAACCTTCAATTTTGCAAATGGTTTTTGAATAACATTTTTTTGCGACATTTCCTTCGCCCATGCATTTGTAGCAGCGGAGATTTTTTTCCAAAAAATTCTCGTCTCTCTTGAACATTTTTTTCTAAAAGCAATTTGCACCCATATAACTTGTGAAAGTTACCATTACATAGCTTGCACAGTTTTTCATTTGATGACGTGACTTTAATATTATATAATTTCTCCTTTTCCCGGTGCCCCGTTTGGACCATATTCTCTCGAATACTCTCGAGATGGACCACTAACAGCCATTAAGGCATTTACTTCGGATTTTAACCAGATTGAAAAATCTTCAAGAGTTACCATGCCAGTTTTTTGTTTGAAAACTTTATATTCTGCCCATAATCCTTTGTTAGGTCTTGAATTTTTTTTTTCCAATTGATACAAAAGTTCTGGATTTTCTAAATATCTGGAATCAAAACAATCATATTCGATACACATGAAAAATGCAAAAAACTTTCAATTGAGTCTTCTCTAGGACTAGGACATTTTCTTACTTTATCCATCTGTGTTACATTACTTGGACTTCAAAATAAGTCTCTCACTACCTCTCTTGTTTTACCTTTGAGATATTTCTGTAATCTATTTAGATTATCATTCTCAGAATAATGCCTATCTTTAGTGGAGCGATTGTATTCAGCAAGTCATAGAGGAAATTCATTAATATTGCCATAAAAATCAGGTAAATCTAATGGTTGGTTTTTGAAAGCCAACCCTGTCAAATTTGTATTTAAATCTTGCATGCATTTATTGATAGATTCAGCAAATAATGTATATCTTGACTTCCAGGATCTTCACTTCTATTCATATTTTTTTTTCTTTGACTTCCATATGTTCATTTCGTTCCTCTGTTACTTTCCATAAATTTTGGTTGATTTTTCTTTGCGTTATGTTCTTTGGTATTTTCTATAAGTAAATTTTCTGACTTTTTAAGCACGTTAGCTTCTTTCGGATTTCTCATAAATAATACACTTTGGTCCTCAGGTTCATCACCCCCTTTGGATTTTTCCACCCATTCATTTATTCTTATGTACTCATAATCTTCATCGTATTTATTTGTTGAACATATTTCCGAAACGCAGCCAGAAATTTCGCTATTTGATTCAGTTGAGGCATTTTCTCTTCTTCATCAAGAAATTCCATTTGAAGTTTAAGCATTCTCAATTCGATTTCTCGTTTTTTATGTCGAATTTCGTCTATTTTAGAAGTAGAAGCACCAGTACCAGAAATGACAGAGATTCTGACGTTTTTGTTTTTTTTTTTTTTATCATCATTTATCCATTTTGGCTAGTAAAAGCTTAATGGCGGGTTTTTAACCTAAATAGTTGAGGTTAGGATATGTAACGTGACTGTTCATAGAAAAAAATTAAGACTTATCAACTAAGAATTAAGAAGTAGGTACATAAACGCACGTTGAAATTCTTAGTTGTAACTTAATTTTCTCAAATTAGTTCAAGTGGTAATTTTTTTTATAAACCCACCATTAGCACTAACCTTCTTATTCAAATCAACATTGTCGAGATCAAAGCCAAATCTCTTTGGAGCAACATCTTGATTAAGCCTTGCACTTTTCCTTAAACTGCGAAATTCACTCATTTTTCTTCAAATATAGGCTCCAAAGGACCAATTTCAAAACTCGAAGGACCAATTTCGTTACAGCTTCAATCCATAAGAGCTTTAGCTGCTAACAAATAAAAATTACACTTCTTAAAAAGGAATATTCGTGACAACTTTTTTTAAAAACATCTATCTATTCTGTAAGGAACGAACCTTTCGATTCGGTAGAATTTCTTCGATTGTGACGTCATTTTCGGTTTGGTAGCGCGAAAACCAAACCGAAAATGACGTCACAATCGAAGAAATTCTACCGAATCGAAAGATTCGTTCCTTACAGAATAAGGCCCCAGGGCCCGGATTCCGAACCCACGATTCGATAGTATCGTTTATGTAATTTATATGGACGATACTATCGAATTGTGGGTTCGGGATCTGGTCCAGTTTTGTCAGGTTTTATAAAACAATTAAAAATAATTAAAGGTAAAATACAGGGAACTCTTCTATCTGCTACAATACCTTTCCTTAACATAAGCCGGGAAAAAAGGTTGCCATTCAATGGACCCACTCTTTCAATCTATTTTGCACCAAACGTTATACCTACCCACTGATTCTCTTGCTATGAAACAATAATGAGGTAAGGCGCCCACTATCTTCCTGTTCCTTGGTGAACATTATGCACTTCATCAAGACATTCCTCCCCAGTTAGGGATATAGAATCTAGAAGCAAGCTTCCAACAAATCGGTGTTGATACAATTTCTTTTGAAAAAGTCGACAATGATATTTCTCAGCTCATCAAAAAGTAGCATAGCGATTACTGATTTTAGTACTGATGCCTTTGGAATAATGAATATTCCCTTTTAGTCCTAGATCGAAAAATCCTTCAAACTCCACCAAGCGTAGACTTGTCCCAACTTAGTAAGTTGGAAGGTCATGAGCTTGTTGAACTGGTACGACTCTACGTCCAGGAAAACGGCGAATTACGAAAAGAAAACATCGAGCTTTTTACTTCGCGCGAGTTGTTACAAAGGGACCATGAACTCGTGTGCAGAGAAAACGAAAGATTACTGAAAAAACTTGAAGAAGTAAATTCGTAAGTAGTCTTGCTTATAGACCAATCACGTCCTGTTTTCAGCGTATGTTGTAGATCTCCACTGATAGCAGCTAGATCAGCATTTTCTGCCGAGGCACTTAATATGCCAGATTCAGAACCATCGGATATTTGGACAAATCCAGAAAAGGAACCTGCTACTTTGGTAAGTAATAATAAATGATACCATAGTTTCCAAAAACTTTCTTGTTTGTAGGAAAATGGAAATAAAGAAATGCCTGACTTTTTACAAAAAGAAATGGATAAAAGATTAGGCAGTAGGTGAGTCATAATGATGAATAATTTATTTGTGCTTACCAATTTTTTCTGTTAGAGAAAGCAGAGGTGCAACTCCACGAGGACGCCCTAGATCATGGGAAGAAAAACCCACTGCTGTTAAGGTGCTGAGAATCAAAAGTACCAACTCGGAGGAATCGGAAAGAACTAAACCGGAAATGGCGTAAGTTAGAACAAGTTAAAATAATGATTATTATCTAAAGTTGTTTTGTTGTACTTATGTTATTCTGCCAATTTTGGTCACTTATTATTTATTTAAAAAAACCAGTATCAATACATCAGTTAATATGTTTCCTTATTGAAATTAAGAAAGCCACAAGCAGTAACGAACAACAGTTCAACGGCAACTCGGAGATTTTCTGTTGCACAACATAAGGAAAAAGGAAATCAATTTTTTGGAAGCGTCATCTCCTTGACGGATGAAGATGAAGAATTATAACACAAATAGTAGATCAATCTAGTTTGTTTAGTACTCATAGTTTATTTTGGCAAATTGTTGTGTGATTTGTACAAAATAAAATCAAATAATCAGGAAGGAAACATAGGAAAAAAATATTAAGTACAAGAAAAGTACCTATAGAGTAACATTTATACCTGCAATTATTTTAAAATAATATTTTTTAAAGTCAGGTCACTTGTTCATCACTACACGCCATTTAAAATTTATTATCTAGCTAAAAATTGACATATTTTTTAAATAAGATAATCAAAATCAAATACATATGTAGGTAACTAGGTTTTGACTCGAGCATAGTTTCAATAAAAGTCTAATAAAAAAACTGAGGGGCTTTTTTTTTTTGTTGGAACCTATCATCTACTTTGATAGGGTATAAGTACTGTGTTAATCAGTGTTATCAGGTCTGTTCTCACAGAAATCACAAAGCGTTTTTGATTGGTGCAAATCACCCACAAACAGTTTTCTGACTATTTCCAACCAATGAAGATCGATCTGCTCTGACTGGTTTGTGATTTCTGAGAGAACCGACCTTTCATCTCCACATCCTGAAAAGTTAATTTTGATGGAATCTTACACGGCTCGCGGCTAATGTAGGTCGAACTTGAGGTTGGGGGTTGCCCTTCAGGAAAACACACAACTACAAAAGGCACTTATCGTATATTGCTTCCTAGTGGGTACATTACCAAAGGGATACTACGTAGGTATGCCACATGACTCTTGCGTTTGGGGTATATGTATCTATATCGGGGCGCAACTGGTGTATAGCGGCGATGCCCTAAAAGGGATTGCTCCAAGACTCTCTGGGGGTAAAGTGACCCTAAAGATACGTGTAGCTACTGCTCCTTAGGGTAAGGAGACTCTGAGGAGAGAGATGCGAACTAAAAGGGATGAATGCTACTTCCTGGAGTAAGGAGACCCTGAGAAGAGAACGACCCGAATGGATATCGATCATGGGTTGCATCGGTTTTTATATCCATTGACCAGCTTAAACTGCTGATTATTGATAAACCGTGTTCTAGTTTTAATTAATGGGTTTTTGATATACAGGATGGTTTTTATTTACTTATAGACCAGTTGACAATATCAAAAATCATAATTTTATGCAATTTGAAAATAAATCCAAAATAAAAGAGTAAATAGAACAAAAACAAAAAGAATAAAATCAAAAAATTTATTTGTGCTAAATTTTTCTCTTTAATTACGTACTTTAAAATATCACCTTTTCCTTTCTAAACTAAAAAAATTATAATTATTATTGTAAAAACAGTGATAGAATATATTTTGTTTTAATAAGCGAGCCCAAAATTAATTTTTCCGGCAAGAAAGGTTTTGAGAGCTGTGTGGAAAGTTAATTTTTTACCCGCTTGAGAAAGAATTGTGCGAAAAAATCACACTTAATAGTTTAAGTAAAAAGTAAAATGGACGAATTTAAATTAATACAAAAAAAATATTTCCCATTTAAGCAAAGTTATATATAATTCCATATTCTTTGGCAGCATTGAAGTTTCCATTTGAAAAATTGGGAAATAAATGACTACAGATTTTAAAGTCTAATACAATAGCTGAAATACTTATGTTTTGGACGAAAAATTTTAGAAAAGAAAGCGTACCTGGCTACTAACAATAAAGCAGCATCTAAAAATAGTATAAATACCTATATCAATCTAGGAATAAATAAATAATAAACCAGTCCCTGGGAAAAATGTAAGTAAATTGAAAAAAACCTCATATAATCTCCTAATAATACTTTTACTTTAAATAGCTTTCTGGCTCGCTTTAAATGAGCCTCTTTTTCTATTACTTAAGGAAATTTTCCCATAAACTAACGGATTCTAAATACCATAATGAACCAAGTTTTCAAAATTGCACACTCACTTCCAAATTATTTTTTCAAATGAAAGTACAAGGGATTTATTTAATTTTTTTTTCCTTCCCAGCAACTGGTATATAATAACTCTTGTCAAAATAAAAACTGGCTATAGAAATTTTCCTTAATTATTATGCGTTGAATTTTACGAAAATAACAGTCTTTCTAGATCAATTTCAATTGCTAACGTTTTAATTGCAAGTCTTTACTCAGTCATGAATCATCAATCGATATAATAATTATCAGGTGACTACAGTCTAAAGTTAAAAATCTCAATATGAAACATGATTAATAAGTTTTGAATAAATAAATCATTATTATCAACGATTGTTGCTCTTTGCTAGTTGTGACTTTTAAGTTCGGATTGGTTTGTAAAATATTCTCATCAGCTTTGCGATTGGTGTGATTTTTTGAAAATTTTACGCAACAACGGAGCGTAAAGCAATGGCCACAAATACCACAAAATAAATCCACTATAGCCGCAATTTGAATAAGCTCTCCAATATCTGAAAAATACATAAAATTTATAGGAACTTTTAAGTAGAGTAAATGTTGTACGAGATAGAAAGGTGGTTACAATCTTTCTACATAAACAAGCCCAATATATGTTTTTTCAATAACCATCTTCCTAACGTATATGAAGTATCTGTCTATCCAAAATATTTCACCAAAGACACTTGATTCTGGATCTGAATATCGTTTTTCATACCCATAAAAAAATTCTTACCTTGGAAATTGCAAATAAACAAGTGGAAGCAATGACCAACCCATAAATACAAAAGTATACATGTGCAGTAAAACTTTGCAAACAGGTTTCACTAAAGGATTGGCGAAAAATGCTGAAACTGCCTTGTTGGATTTCACAAATGATTGAAACTGAAAATGGTTTATTGAAATTAACTGAATTGGAGTACTTTTAATTATTGCTCACATCTCTTTCCACATACATCACAACGAACTCATGCAGAAAGACCACATAGTAGCCACTGTGAAGTCCATGCCACACTGCCAAAAACAGCAAAACGCCCCCTTGAGAAATATATTTGTTGTTCAGAAATTTAAGTCTTTTATAGATATGTTGTGCTACCTGAAATGGATGAATAATTATAATTATTTCAAATTAATAAACTCGATTAGGTGTTCTCTTACCCACTGATTTGTATTGGCATTGAATGACATTATGTAGTGATTAAACTCAGTTGAAGATTCAAAAATCCACAATTTTATATTGGAAACACCGTTCCATTTGGCAACTCCATTCTCTTCTCCATTATACGATATTCCAAAAAGAATACAGGCTCCTTCAGTTAACAGCCAAACAGAAATATATTTGTACAAAGTGAAACGTCCCCAAACGCCAAGCAAAAATTGCCGTTTGAATATATTCAATTGTGCAAAGTCGTCAGATATTATTGTGTCGTCACTTACAAAAAAACTCAAAAATTGGAAAAATGCCATATAGAATATGCCTAGAGTCATTCTTTTTAGGGCGGCTGATGTTGAGGCTGGAGGCAAAATTTCACCATTCGGTCCCTAAAAGAAGGAAGTTTGCTTGATGTTTTATCTGAAGCATTTTTTACTACTTTTGTAATACTTTATTATGCTTGACTTATTAAAACCAATTAGAAAATTAACACTATTATTGTAATTTGACATGCAGCGTAAGTAGGGTATACCTTTGAGTGGAAGTCTCCCTTAATAAAATCCAAAAATCTTCGCATGCTAAACTGTGGTCCTACTAAAAAGGCAGAAGGAAAGAAACTGTGTCCTAAAATTTGAAGAAGAGTAGGGGGCTCTTTGAGGGCCGATTTTAACGCGTCAGAAGAAAGTTTCTCTTTGGGGCGTGCCCCGTCATATACGTCATAAGTCACACCAATGAGCCTAAAAAAATAATAATTTTTTGTGTAAAAAAAAGAAACCCTCTAGTGGTTTACGCTGAAAAAACCAAATACATAAGGCTGGTAGAGAGTTTTTGTCAGAATTAAAAATAATAATAATTCTTTAAACCAAATCAGATGAAATTTCTCAGAATGTATTTATTGTATTTTGTGCTACTTTTTCTACATTTGAAGAAGCAATTAGGAAAGAAACCTCTTATAGAAGAGTACGGTGGCATTTTTGATAAATGTAGAATGTGCCTTAAAGTGTAGGTACTCTTTCCAGTTTCTTTTTTCTGAATATATAAACTCTTATACTTCCCAGAAAGTAATATTTCCATCCATGGGACAATGCAACAATTTCATTTATTTTTATAATACAAAAAAGTTAATATTGGTACATATTGTCCGTCGATTTTAATCTGATACTCGGACGAGTCGGACGGAATGTATACTGATGGCTCACTACATTAGATCGCCAATGGTTACCTGTTGTTACACTTGTTTTTGCCATATGAAACACCCCCTCGCACCTCATACGGAAAGTGTCAGTTAAAATTCGATGAACAATACGTATCAGATTACAGTAGACCTCCTAGGAGACTTACCTTAAAACCAAGACACAATAGGGCATAGTCCAGGTTATATCATAGGAATCAGTGCTCGAATAAATATATCCTAAACACAATTGAATTCAATTAGATTATGATTTTAAATTAGTATTAGTTAGGCATATATTATTAGGATTAGGAATTAGGATGAATCCTACATCTTACAAATAAAATTTGAAGACTTGAGAAGTGTTAAAATAGGCAATCAAGTAGGTACTGAATATAAGTATATTTGTATATTTCATGTATACCTAAATGTTTTCAAAACTATATAAAGTGTGTAGGTACTTTTATTACATTGAGTTAGTTTCATTATTTCTTATGGAAGAAGTTCAGATATTCTAAGCAATAAAGTAGTAACAAAAAAAAATTATAACAAATTCTTCTAGGAAAATAAATTTTAACTAGGAATTTAGGATTATACCTATGAGAAACTAGGAACCACTAGTGCTTAGGTACTTACCCACTAATAAGTAAGCAAAATTAAAACCAAAAACTACGCTGACCATAGCAAGACCACTCAAGCAAGATATTGCTGCATAAGTTACAAATATTGACAGTAAACAGTGCAGCAAGCCCAATCCAAAATTCCAAAATCCTATGGATAATCCCGACAAAATGAAATATAGACACTGTTTTTGCTCATCTTGATTGTATATATATTTTCTGTAAATTTGAGCAAGTGGATAACCTGAAAAAAAATCAAAAATCACAAACTCTCTAAAAACAGGATAATTATTGATTGAACGTTTGCCAATTTGTAAATAATTGTCCCAATTTGAAATTAATTATTGTTTACAATTTGAATTTTTGATTTGTGCGACTGTTGAGGATTGCCATGAAAATCGCAGTGATTTCCAAGGATTGCCATGAAAATCGCAGTGATTTCCAAGGATTGTCATATATTTCTGGCTGATTGTGGGACTGCCAAAATGATTGTGAGACTGTAAAATGATTATGAGACTGTCACAATGATTTCTTGAGGGATTTACAGAAAATGTCATAGAATAATAATCTTGATAATAATGTAGTACAATTATCAAATAATCAAATCAAGGTATCGTTCATAAGTCATGTTTCTGAAATACATATTACTTTACTTTCTATATTTTTGTGGAGATTGTAAAATCTTTGTCAAGATATATGGAAAGAAACCATTACAAAATCTTTAAAAAAAATACTTTTCTGTGATTGACAAGAAATGTCAACATTTTCGACTGCTTGACAGGCCACAAAAGTCAATATTCTGATATTTTTGATTATCCTTCAATAGTTGCTAAGAAATCGATAGATAACAGTGCAGGAATCACTTTCCCAGCCTAGGCTGAAAGCACTTTCTCGGCCTTCGGTGTTTGCCGGCCTTGGCTGTGCCTCGCCTGGCATGGCATATATGACACTGTTGGCCGAGAATGTGTCACTTTTCCACCTAGATACACAATATACTATTATTTTTTATTCATGAGTTATTTCAATTTTCTAAATTCCCCTTCATAACTCAACTTGTCACATTGTTCTAAAACAAATAGTCCATTTCCAACCAATATTGGCTGAAAAAATATAAACTTCTTATTAACTATTTGAATATCGTCTTCTCTTGTCCAATAGAATTGGTCGAGGTCGGCTTTTAATTTTTTTATTTTAAATGAATGGCTCTAATTTTTCTAAAACTCTCCCAATTGTACCATGTTTCATGATACAGTGCATGCATAGTATTTCTCACAATGGATGTGTTTTTCGTCAGATATTTTGGATTGTACAATTGTTTCCTTAATTTTTTCATTGTCCGAGGAGTTATCTAAGCCAGCCAATTCAGAATCTGGAGTGGAGTTGTTGAGTTGTCTATTAGCTCCAGATGAGGGCGTAGAGTAGAAACAGGTTTTTTTTTTGTTATAATATGCTTTTCTCTCGGTTTCTCATAGGAAGCTGTCATCTCTCTGCAACGAATCTGCCTATCAGATGAAAGTATTCCTTTTTTATTAAAAAATAACCAACAGAGAGTGAACTTTCTAATAAGCATTTCCCTTGTGTTAAGTGATATTCAATCTAGAAATATCCTTGGTCTTTTTCATTGTCTTATCACTATAGTCCTTGATATTTGGTGGTTTGCCAATTGACAGCTTCCAACAACTTGGATATTAATTATCAAGTAGGTATACAGCAGTTTATAATATGCATGATGTAAACATCTATAACGGGACTGCACTGTTTAAGCATATATGAAGATATATTGTCAGAACCATAAGCATTAGTTTTGATTCCATGTAAGACTTTATGCACTTCTTCAGTTGTGGTAAGACAGAATGAGAACGTGTTGCTAAGAAAAAAAAATTATCATAATATTGAATTTTATTGTCACAGTTATTTGATACTTTTTGAATGAAATCACCAAAATATTTATTTATTTCATCAGGGTTGGACAGTTCTGGGGGAAGAGTTCTCTGCAAAGTTCACATATCAATAAATTTTTGGGCCTACATATTGACGATAAATTGAAATTTGAAAGCCACGTTTTTCAGTTGAATAAAAAACTTTCGGGTGGGTGCTTTGCATTGAGGACAGTTTCTCGAGAGGTAGACATGTCTATGGCAAGAAATGTATATTTTGCGCTGATTGACTCTCATTCACGGTATGGAGTCTGTTTTTGGGGATCGTGTTCTGATCACCTGTTTAACTCAGTTTTTATTCTGCAGAAGCGAGCTATTAGGTTCTTATGTAAATTAAATATCCGAGAATCCTGCAGACCTTATTTTTTGTCGCTCGGAATATTAACACTGGCATGTATATTTATATTGGAATCAGTCTGCCTTACGCATGACAAGTTCCACAATGAGATCCTGACTGCTGGGGCTTATGCAACTTGGTCATCGCACATTGCTCCTCTACCTATCCCCTTAACAACGCTAGTAAAAAAATCTGTTATCTATAATAGTAAAAAGCTTTTTAACCACCTGCCTTCTAATGTCCGTGAGATATGCAACAAAGAGCAATTTAGGGGGAAGGTAAAGAGGATACTGGTTGGGAGGGCTTACTATTCGGTTGCTGAATTTTTCAGTGATACTTTTGCTTAGTGTCTTTTCGTTTACAGTTTAGTTTGTCTTATATTTTACTCACTGACTTATTACTTTATACATGTCTAGTATTTAAGTATGTTACCTTTAATGTCTTTTAATGTGTTATTTTAATCTATGTAGTTTATTTTATAAGAGTATTTTAGCAGCACAGTCTTGTTTCATTTTATTTGATGATTTTTTTTTTTAATTTTAAGCGTGTATTTGCTACAACTTTTATTTTTAAGTTTGCTTTGATAAAGAGATGTTATAATTCTTATATCAATAAAGCTATTTTTGACTTTGACTTTGACTTACTATTAGAGCGTACATTAAGGGATGCCAGAGCTTTCCACGTTTTAGAGGGGTCTTTTTCCTCACAGACATTTTGGAGTTTAAGTTGAAATATCTTAAGGTGCCCACCATGTTAGTTTAGCTTTTAAGTTTATCTTTAAGTTATTTCGAGGGGTCAACCACTCTGTAAAAATGTGTATTGCGAAAATGTCGGTATTTCGCAAGTATTTCGCGAGATTCAAAGTATTTCAGTGGTGGTAGGTAATTCGATTCTAGTTTTTTGTGGTATTGCCGAGTATTTCGAAATATTTGCAGATAATTCTAAATATTTCGAGGCAATTCGAAGAATTTCGAGGTAATTCGGAAGTATTTCGCGGTAAGCCGAGGTATTTCGCGCTATTTAAAATTATCAGTATTTTTTTTATGCACCGAGAATAATTAATTTTTTATCACCCAAAATTGAAATATTATAGAATGAAAATTAAAGTCCATCTTCGAACAGGCTAAATCGAGGGCTAAATATGCTTACATAATTTGGATTTACTGCAGATTAATTGATACAAATGGAACGATATACTACCTGATATGTATCAGTAATCAGTATTAGTAAAGTGTCATTTACATCCACTCAACTTAACATACAGAAAATTAATAATAAAGAAAAGTTGATGATCATGTATATTTATCTGTAGTTGTTTACATCCACTTAAAAATTAAGAAAATTAACGTACCACACGGAAAACTGAACCAACTTCCACTTGAGGAAATCCGTACGTTAATTTCAATAATAATTATGAATGACACACAGATTGCACTAGTCTGTAAATTATCAGTTTCGTATGTTAATTATAATTTTCTGAACAGGGGTTAACAGGGGATTATTTTTGACTTTCCCTGTATTTTTGAGAACATTGAAAATAGCCAATTGGAACATTTTTTTCTGGAGAACTCAAAAATGATACTAAAAAATCATTTGAACCAACAACCAAAGAGTTACTCCATGGATGAGCGGTTTTTTGAATGGAACAGCCTGTTTTTTGTATGATTTTTGGAAAAGTCACACTTCTCATTCCGTTGAAAATATCTGATATTCCGATAGCTGTTTTTATCTTATGTTAATGTTTTATTCTTATTCCTGCAATTATTAATTTAATTGTTGTTTGTGTCCGAATATAATCCATCATATCAAAAGATACAAAAATCCAAGCAAAAATTCTTCACTGTGAACTGTGATCCACAAGAAGAATCGTTATAAACGAGATTTTTTTTTTAGTATTGCGAGACTTCGCGCGGTAATTTGAGGGTATTTCGGGTACTTCGACGGTAATTCCATGGGATTTCTCGTACTTCGACGGGAATACCTGGTATTGCGACGTACTTCAGGGTATTTCTAGGTACTTCGAAGTATTTCGGAGGTAATTCGGGCCAATTGTACATGTATTTCGGGAAGTGGTTGACCCCTCGAGTTATTTATTGTTATGACATTATGCATAAAAATTCTTGTAATTATTGCAATAAACATGAGTTCTAAAGTAAGCCCGGAAATGGGGTCTACAAGAGTCCCTTCGGCCAATGTTTGTTATAAAGAGTACTGCTTTATTCTGCAGAATAAACAATATATTTAGAAGATATTGACTACTTGCACCCCAGAATCCCATACCTCAGATGAGACTCAAACAGTGCAAAGTAGACCATTCGAGCCACAGCCGAACCAAGCTCCCTGTGTGCAATTCTAATCGCAAAGCATCCCGATGACAGTTTCCTGCTAAGCCTAATTATATGGTCCTCAAAACGTAACCCACCTTCGACAAATAAACCTAAAAATTTTGTACAGGGCTGGTCCTCGAGACGATTTTCTCCCAGATTCAAACCCGTCATGTCACATCCAAAACCAACAACATTAGTTTTATTGACATTAAAACAGAGGCGGTTAGAATCACACCACTGTTTGATTATGATAAGGTCAGATGCGATGTCCTGTTTAAGTTGTTCCACATTTTTATTGTGCCATACAATTCTTAATGTCAATGGGTTGGTGATTCCGTACGCCGAGAACGCTAGAAACTTGGGATTAATAATCGACAGTGACTTAAGCTTCAGTGTTCACATATCCAAAAAACTGTCGTTAGTCTATCTTAAACTAAAATCCTTATATGCATTTAAGTATTTACTACCATGTAGTACAAAAATGATGCTGATTGAATCATTAATTTACCCTCACTTGGATTACTGTAGTGTTGTTTACTTCAGCTTCTTGACAAAAGAACTGAGAAATAAAATTCAGTTAGCCCAAAATTCTTGTCTACGATTTGTCTCTTGTACTGGTAAATTTGATCATATCACCCCAATTTACATGCAGTATGAACACTTGAGGTTTGAGTCGCGTGTCTCTCTGCATTTTGGTGTTTTTCTTTATAAGATTTTTAAGAGTAATTGCCCTGGTTATCTCTGGTCTCTAATTGTGCCTAGAAATGACTTGCATAATAGGGATCCTAGAAATACAGTAAGATATAATATACCGCTACATCGAACATCCAAATTTAGAAGTTGTTTTGCATTTCTGTCTGTAGAATTACTCAACTCAAATATCTATGATTTGTTAATTAATAATTCATTAGTGATTTTCAAAAAGGTTTATAAAAGCCAATTACTGGAATCTGTGTAGTAGTATGAAAGTGTTCAAGGAGATAGGGCATCATGGAAGAACGCCTCAGCGAATGTTGCCTTTTGTGTATTGTTTTTGTATTATGTTTATTATATATTATACTGTACAAATTACGCAATAAATATTCTATTCTATTCTATTCTATTCTATGTATCGTCGGCAAACATGGTGAATTGGCCCGATATCCACACCCCGACAAGATCATGAAACTATTTCATAACCCTTCGTCAGTGTGGTGGGGTATGGCATACCCCAGACGATCTTCGTATCCTTGCATTTTCCAAATTTGAGTACGTGACGCCAGCTAGTGGCCAGTAGCTTGAAATACTGTGTTGATCTACATGATAAAATAACACGAACCGCCAAATATTGTATCATTCGTGAATAAGGCGACATCAAAGGCGATTGGGGCATGATATACCCCACCACACTGATCGTGTAACTATTTTCTGCAGAAGTAGATACGCAAGATATGTTATTTCTTAACAATTTTTCGCTCATAATACATTTTTCTATGTAGTAATAGTCGGATATCATGTCATACGAGGCAGAGCAAGCTCATTTGCGAAAACTATGGGAAGAGGTAGATAGAGAAAAATCCTCGCCTATGGGCAGGCGAGACCAGGGTTTTGAGACCATTGAGTCAAAAAAATTAGCTTGGCCTCATGAAAAACCAAAACAAACGATGAAAAGTTTCATCAAGATGTTTGATTTGTTCTCGAGCTAAAGACAGAATAATTTTTTCTACACGATAATGACTTATGTTTTTTAATTTAAAATGTTAAGCTTTTCTTTGTCCAGAACTCATTAAGTAAATAATTTCAAAACCAATAATAACTTCGCAGTATGTTCAATTTGATAAAAATACCGATTTACAATGATTATGTATTATGAAGCATTAAATAGAAAATCTAAGAGTCCGTATCATGTTTTTATTGAAATTAATTCCATATATAAGGTAAATAAACTAATTAAATATTTATTTGATGCCACCTTAATTTGGATTGCGAAAAAAAGTTTGGGGTATGACATACCCCACCACACTAATAATAGAACTTTTTTCTACCACACCGATGAAGGGTTAAAATTAACAATAGTGCCTTACATTGCTTTAAACACAAATTCTACATTTTTTAAATAAATAGGTAGGTACTACTGACACAACAGAATCTACATGATTTTTAATAAATTCTATTGATGATGATGTAGATAATAATGGAAATAATCAATTACCTAATAGGACTCCTACAATTAATCGAAAGGCTGGTTCAGTAACCCCAACTGTTTGGGCTAAATAACCCACAAGGCCCAATGATGCAGCTTCTTCGGTCATAATTTTTTTTAAAAAACTCCTAAGGTTCTATAGGAAATATTCGCTTTTTCACTCAAGTAGGTACTTCTGAACACTAACGTGGCTAGGCACTACTAATCATTATTTAATAATAATTGAAAGTTAATTTGAGACAAAAATTTGGAAAGTGGTCAATGATGTGACATTTGATCAGATTTTCCTCTCCTATGTTAAATTACTGACTTGGCGGCAGTGGTATTTTGTGCAACACATCACTTTCTATTTATTCATTATTTATGTTTCATTTATAAATTGGTGATAAGATAATAATTTAGGAAGGAATTCAGGCCAAGATAAAAATAAATTTTCTTTCAGATACTAAAAATAATAAATTCTTGAGGTCAAGATGTCAAATTTAAAACGTCAAACTAAACTCAGCTGATTTGGGATGTGTACCGTTTATAGTTTTTTTCGAGTAGGTAACCCGAGTTTTCAGGTTGGTTTGTTTGTGTCGCACTAACTTGAACTGATCTGTAATATTGCAGATTATGGCTGATAACCAGAATAAAGCCTAGTACTCCCGCAAATTGCGGATTTTTATTTTGCGGATTTTTTTCTATTGGTCGAATATATTTAAACCTGTCGGCTTAACGTTCGCCAGTTCATTGTCATAACACAAACGAACGCCCCAAAGCAGGAAGTGCTGCTCCAAACAACCACATAACAACCTAAAATCATGTGAGCCGTTTTCCCGCGTCCTCTTTTTTGACATTGGTATAAAACAGTTTTGAAACGGGCAATGGTGTTACCATTAGATGTATTCCTTTCAAGAGTTTAAAACGTTCGAGCTACTCGCTCCGGTGTCGCCCCCGATTTTGAAAGGAACAGATGCGTGGTGCAACAAACACTTTTCGGAAGGAATAAGCGCGTAACGCCCCGGAGCTGTTCCGGAGCTGCTCCTAGGTGTGAAAGGAATACAACTAAAGTGTTTTTTTTTTTTTAAAGATAATTCCCCAAGTCAAAAATTTAGTAACTATGTTGGAAACACAAGCCTTTTCTACAAAAAAAATGTGAAAGCATTGACAATTTTACATTGTATTGCCAACATAACGTCATTTTGACTTTTATCTTTAAAAAAAAAAAAAAAAAAAACCAATTTTCCCGACGAATGTAGTTCATCAATAGTTCAATTGTGACGTCATGAGTTTGAACGCTCATGAACTCATGACGACTTTAATATGGCGTCATGAGTTTCTCGCGAAAGCGTTTGAGTTCATGGAATCATGGAAGTAGTTCGTCGCGAAAATTCGGTTTTTATTGCCCGTTTCAAACCTGTTTTGAAAAAAGTGGACGCGAGAAAACGGCTCTAATGTTTGATTGCCAGGGCGCATTTACTATTCGATCACCCGGGTTATATTGGGCAATTTTTCGCGAGGATAACCAAGCATAATCTTTTGCTGGATTAGTTGTATTTCTTTCAAGAGTTTAGAATACTAGAGCTACTCGTTCCGGTGTTAGTCGACCCCGATTTGAAAAGAGCCGCTTTCCAGTATGGGTGTGTGACGCCCGGAGCTACTCGGGGCGTGAGCTCCCGAGCTGTACGTACCCGTGAACCTGTCAGTTGTCATATCCGTGGGCGGCTATTTATTTATTTGTTTCTTGTTATATCTCGGGATCGAAGATTTCCAAAATATAAAATCTGTTTTTTTTTTAAAGATAAAAGTCAAAATGACATTATGTTGGCAATACAATGTAAAATTGTCAATGCTTTCAAATTTTATATGTAGAAAAGGCTTGTGTTGCCAACATAGTTACTAAATTTTTGACTTGGGGAATTATCTTTAAAAAAAAACGAACTTTAGTTTTGATTTTCTTTAATTTTTAATAAATAAAAAACAAACTGCACCAACAAACAGATAATTATTTTTAAAATTTGACATATTTGACACTAAGACAGGCGTCTCACGCCATGATACTGGAACGGTACAAATCAGGCGCGTGGCGCCCCTGAGGTGCTCTAGAGCGCGCCAGAGCGCGCCAATATGCATACTGGAAAGCAGCTATAGGATTTTCACGCTATGTTTAGGATGACGTCACATTTAGTAAATTTCTGCTGCAAATCTAACAAAACTAAAAGTACTTCTCAACGCATTCAAAGTAGGGGAATTTTAGATGTTTCTGGTTGGCAACGGCGCGCGATGTTGTATGATTTAAATGAATATTTTCAAATAAATTACGCGTGTCGATTCATTTCGTTATTTTTAGCTGTCCGGGGTCTTGATAATATACATATACTTGCGGCCAACATTAGAGTGAGAGAACAGGAGAGATCCGTGAGATTTTCTTGCCCTTACTAGCGCTATCTCATTCTGGAATCAACTTGAATGACGCAAAGCCCATTCCAAACCTTTTTTCTACTTCATTGCGGTTGCCTGATAACTTCATGACGTCATGTGGGGTGCCTCAACATAATGCAAATCTCTATGAGGTACCCCATCAGATGCGTCATCAAGTTAACCAACAACCTATGAACTTTAGGAACCTTGCTCGAGGATCAAGAACACTTAATTTCTTCTGTGAGAACAGACCGAAAATCACTTTTTCTACATTTAAAACCGATAAAAAAATTAACTCACTAGCACAGCCTGAATCGCAAGCATTCGATCGAAGTCTGCGGGTGACGTCATCACCTGCTGATAGTCGTGGATGATACACACTACTACTACAGGATGGCCTATCCTCCTAAGGCCTGTGTGTAACAAATCCCCCCCTTCCGCAAGAATACCAGTTGTGACGTAGGCAGCATGTTATTTCTCGCCTTGACGTGAGCTGTTAAAACAGCTGACGACTTAGTTATGACGTCGGCAAGGGTGGCACACCAATATAGCGGCGATTACTAAAAACTTTGGAAATAATTTGGTGTCCGAATGGTGTGAGGATGGTGGGACGTCGTTAACTTGGTACAAAATGATGGTGTATTCGGTGTTACACCGCCGATTACACCTTCATCACGTCATGATATTACACTGCACTACACGAACACCGCACTAGTACTGCACTAAAATTCCGAACTCAACTTTAGAGTGTGTATGTTCCTTGACTGATAGTGACGTCACTCGCAGGCCCATAATTTGATGGGGAGGGAGTTAGGGGAGTATGACAGATGTTTTATGTTTTGATTTTGCATCACATACAGTCGTGAGCACGAAAAGTGGGACACCCGTTTTTTCCTATTGAAAAACGGGCTCATATCAGCTATACCGACCGACAGCAATGACAGAGATTGTCATATTTGACAAAAAATCGATTGTAGAGAAGATTTACGCAAAATAGCGCAAAATGACAAGACCTGTCAGTCGGGTGTCCCACTTTTTGTGCTCATGACTGTACATACGTCGTTTATATTTATTCATTTTCTTTGTGAATTGGATTTGTATATGATAATGAATCCAGCTGCCAGCTACCTTTTCTAAAAACGTTGTGATGATCGCAGAATTAAAAAAAAAAACACTATGAAACTATCGCGCATGTCGAGCAAATTTTACCTAGCCGATTGTGAACGCTGGTGTAATTTTACCAGGTTGAAGCATCCCGATTCGTGAACGACTTATCGGGACGCTGTAGCGCGCCCACAGTTCTTCCGGGTGTCTATCGTGAATGCAGCCGAGGCTTTAATATGCAGGATTTGGAGCTAACAACAAATAGCAAAACTAGTTTTGCCAATAGCAATTTTAATATAAAGGTCACTTCATCATGGTCACTTTTTCCCCTTTACAAGATGGTACTACTAAATTTAAAATCTGACGTTTTGTCTTCAGGCGGCCATTTTCAACTTACATTTTTTAAATACGGACCTGGATTTTTTATTTGCGATTTTGACATCTTTGGGCATCCTAAAACTGATACTGTTTATAATTTTATTTTCTACTTTACTATTATAGATCCATAATACCTAGGAAACGAAATACGTTAACACACCTATAACAACCTGATCCATAACGCCCGCTTTTGCGGGCGTTATGATCTATAACGCCCGCTTATAATACCTTAAGGTGTTTTTGTTGTTGTTGTTCTATTAATTTGCACTTTACCCTAGGCAGCCACTAAATGTCTGACCGAAAATAATTTTCGGTCTAGCCAGGATTCGAACCCGGTCTACCATCAATGTTTCCCATGTAGTCCAGCGCGTTAACCCACAGGACCACCACCGTTGCCTTGCCTTATGAGATATTTATAGATATATTAATTTATTTCGTTTCTATGTACAGGTCGCAGGTACAGGTACAGGTCACAGGTACAGGTACATGTCAAAATACAAAACAATATTCTGTCACACAAGTTTAACTGATTTTGTTAATAACAAATTGATGAAAAAACATTGTGTTGAGTAGAAAATAAAGCATTGTATGCACCACGGGGATTTCAAGATTATAATGCCCTTCAGGCGAAATATATCCCTCGGGCCATAGGCCCTCGGGCTAGTTTCGCCTTCGGGCATTATAATCTACATAATCCCCTTGGTACATAAATAGCTATTTCAATAAACGTGCGTTTTTATTCTCACCGATGTGCTCATCGATTAAGCGAAAATGTCAATTGGCTGTTTTTATTCTCATCAGTAAAGCATCGATGGATTTCATCGGTCTGTTTTTATTCTCATCCTACACTTATCGGTGAAAGTACGATTAGCCATCGAATTCATCGAGGTTCATTTAGGATGAACTGATGAATTATAACGTAAAATGTAACCTCAAAATTATATTGACGGTTATTGATGGCCGACTGGCATCGTTTTGTTTTGCATTTATATTCATTATGTGAAGATTTGCGAAGACCTTAACAAAAAAAAAGGAAAAAGGGCAAGTGATCTGAAGGGTGTGAAAACCAAGACCATACCAAACCTAAGAGTGCTGAGCATAAGAGCGCCAAATTACCTAACTTTGTGACAAGTGAGAAATATATCTGAAATATCAAATCAAACTAATTTGTGAGGCATTTTGTGAGGTCTTAAAGCTCAGCTAACTGTCTCAGAGATAATTTTATTTCTAATATCTCATCTCCACTACAGTGCTAGTAGGTCTAAAATGAGACTTAACATCTAAATCACTATGCAAAGGAACTACAGAAGAAATATAATTTTGTATTTTTTTATGTTTTCTACAATTCAAGTAAAACTATTTCATCTGAAGAGCTTCTAGACTCATCACTTGATGATGATGAAGAGCTCACAATTATGCTCAACTAACACTAGACTTCCAATCATTGTATGGCCACGGTTTTATAAACAAATAAAAAAATAAATAAGTTTGCCACATTAAACAAACAACACAAATCAATGCCAAAAGTATCAATTCAAGTGTCAAAATCCATCGAAGTGTTTTTTAGTTGATTCATTTCATCAACAAAATTGCGATGAATTTTGATGACGTACTGCTCATCGGCACTAATCGGTGATGGAATTCATCAGGAAAACTCGATGAGAATAAAAACGCACGTTATCACATTAAAAAAAGCAGGTCCGTATTTTAAAAAAATAAATTGATGATGATTCCAGAGGAACGAAACGTTGGATTTTAAATTTAATACCGCCATCTTGTAGAGAAGAAAAAGTGACAAAGGGAATGTGAAGTTAGTTTGTCAAAATATGTTTAAATAAAATCAGGAAAAAATCAAAACTATATGAAAAAAACATGAATTTCTCGTTTTTCTTAAATTTTTTCCTGATTCCATTTAAAAAGATTTTGAAAAACTAATTTCACATTCCCATTGTCACTTTTTCTTCTCTATAAAATAAAAAATCCAGGTCCGTTTTTAAAAAAAGGAAGTTGAGGATGGCCGCCTGAAGAAGAAACGTCGAATTTTTAATTTAGTAGCACCATCTTCTAAAGGAGAAAAAGTGCCTATGATGAAGTGACATTTATTTTTTAAGTGCTTTTCAAATAAGCCCGGGAAAAAATAAAAACGATTTTACAAAATTTCGTTTTTTCCCGAATATCTCCGCAAGTATTCGGAATCTTTCTAGTTTCAAAACGGCATTCTATTGGTCATAAAATTGCGCAACTTTGCCATAATTTAACCGACCCCGTATCTCTTACGGTTACCGAGATCCCAATGATGAGGCTCGAATTTGGGCCACCCTGTACGATTTTTCGCGACATAATTTTTCCAAAGATTAAGTTCCATTATGTTGAGTAATACCTGAATTGGCGCGCGCAGCCTGTGGCAAAGGTGAGAAATAGTGTGTATTACCCCAAGGAGAATACACACTAAGGAGTGCTTATCGGCCTCATTTTTGGTAATCACCGCTATATTGGTGTGCCATCATTAGGTTTGTTTCTGCAGAAATCAAAATCACAAACCAGTCACAGAGAATTTCATTGGTTGAAAACAGTCAGAAAATTAGTTTCAACCAATGAAATTCACTCTGACTGGTTTGTGATTTCTGCAGAAACAGACCTATTGCCGACGACATAACTAGTCGTCAGCTGTTTAAACAGCCTACGTCGAGGCGAAAAATGACATGCTGCCTACGTCACAACTGGTATATGGGGTGGGGGGATTTGTTACACACAGGCCTTATGGACCCTACTTATGAAGATAGGCCATCCTGTAGTAGTAGAGTAGAAATCAAACGAGAAGAAGCCACGCGCGTTATCGTTTGTCTCACTTTAAATGGGAGGGACCCAGAGAAAAGGAAATCTGCTTTCTTTGTCAGCGCTAACGACAGTGGCTTCTTCTCGTTTGATTTTTACTCTAGTGTGTATCTGTATCATCCTATTCATCCTTGGTATTACCCTACATAATCGAACATCTTTGGAAAAATTATGTTGCGAAAAATCGCCTAATAATGGTTGGTATGTATTTAGACGCAGTTCTGCTTTACTCTCTGTAAACTCTGAGAGCTCTCGAAACGATAAGATCTTGTTCTTTTAAGCCCTCAGAGTGTTCTCTTTTGCGTTGGGCTGACCGCGTACGACGTAACGATATCCATATTTAGGTTTGTTTTTTGTGTTGTTCGGAGCAGCACTTCCAGTCAATTTTTATTTGTTAAACAAGGAAGGCAAATGCTGGTGGCAAGTACAAACCCTGGCGAAACAAACTTACGTTATTATGGTTAAAATATCTTCCATAACTTGGAATATAACAGCTCAGTTCAAGTTAGTGCGACACAAACAAAAAAACCTCATACCGTTCCGCTCCGTGGAGTGCAGTGCCGAACTCAGCTCAAGAGTTGAAAACGGAACAGAACAGAACCATTTCCATTTCAATCCTAAACCTGAACCTGACATTTGACAAGATCATTCCTTCAATCAGCTGACCTAACCTAAAAACAATCAAAATTTTAAAAAAATTAAAGAAATCCATTTATAATCGAATAATCCATAATTATTGGTAAGCAAAATCTAATAACACACAAACCTCTTACCTCTTACTAGAATTTCCAAGCTACCCACCCTAACCTACTTTGTCCTATTTTCAAATCATTATTGTTGTGATGTAACACTATCCAAATTAATTATTTTTTCAGATGGCCATACAAATTGGCCAATTAATAAAAAGGTACTGTTTAGTAACGACTTTTCCGGCATTTGTAGCGAGTACCATTTACGCCGACTGGTCCTATACTCAGCAGTGTAAACTTAGAGACAGAAGGGCCGCCAAACTACAAGAAGAAAATGACTTCAATTTTAATTAGACAATGGTACCATGTATTTGTGCCAGCCAGTGGCATGTTGCTTGGATGGTATCTGGATCGGTAAGAATCTTTTCCTTATCATAAACGACCTGCACAAAGAATCCACAATGAGTTACTTTATGCCTAATAGATTACTTTCTTTTTCAGAAAAGAAACTGAAAGGCTAGTTTTGTTTAGGGACAAAACTGCCCTGTATGGAAGAGAGTTACAAGCAGGAGAAAAGCCATCATGGCCTTAAATTAAACATAATAGGTATATTCAGTTAATGTAGTGAGAGGTAGATTTATTTGTTAATAAATTATATTAAAAAAAAATTCTCTTCTATCATTACCATGTAAAATATTTTCAAAGAAGTTGTCCAGGGAAAGAAAATACATATATTGCCTAACTTCAGAATTACTTTACCTTGTTACAACTTAAAAGTACCAGTACCAACATTAGATCACAATAATAGGCTCCTTGCATCAAATTTTTTTATTGCTGATTTCGATAGTCCATGAAAAATAAGTCAACACATGTTTTTTTCTTTTGCTTCTTAGTCAAAAATTGACGGAGATACAACACTATGAAATCTGCCTATGACGTCACTTATCTAATAAATAAGTGACGTTGCACATGCTCAGTATATCTATATACACAAAACTTAATATTTGAATAACTTCTGGAATAATCATATTTGGGCGAAATAAAAAAAAAGTAACGATTTTTTTTCGATTTCCTACAGTTTGCAATAAAAAATAATCAATTTAATTTTCCATGCAAGTACCCTATTATAAATTACCTACCTATTATGCACTCTTATTAAGAAAATACCCCATTTACTTTCAGTTTATTTTATTTTTTAAAGCACGCAAAGTATCAATAGGAAATTTACTTGCCTTACAAAAGCCATTCTAAAACCAAAATTCTCAAGAAAATATGTCTGCTCCTTAGATTATTGGAATCTACCTAATTTATCACATAGGAACAACACCTTTATATTTCAAAGTAAATTATTCGGCACTAAAATTTCCCCAGACAAAAATACAGAATTAAGAATAAATTTTTTTAATTACATAAGTAAGTATTCACTTTTTATAATAATAATTATTGCCTATGATGATTAAAAGTTGTTTTTTTTTCAATAAAGTTTTTTAAATATTTAATAATATATTGTATTGATAGCTCTCTTTCTGCAGAAATCACAGACCAGTCAAAGCGAATTTAATTGGTTGAAAACAGTCAGAAAATTAGTTTCAACCAATGAAATTCACTCTGACTGGTTTGTGATTTCTGCAGAAACAGACAGACCTTATATTTATTTATTTTTTTCATAACTTAAATTGGAAATAACACTATGTAGTTCATTGCATCAATAGTCTCACAGTTTGCAAAAATTAATAAAAGTACCTATTATACCTACATTGTAACATTATACATCTTTCCTTGTATTAAAAATTTATAAATAAAGCTAAAAAAATATTGCCATTAAAAAATAATACAAAATATAAACAAATTAATTTTCTAACAAAACACAATAGAAGCTCAACTTCTTGGGTAACAAATATTCAATTTTATTGCACTATAAATAAGTATGCTTCATATTGCCATCTTCCTCCTCACCATTTTCTTGCATCATCCTTAGCATTTCAAATGCATATTTTTTAGTTTTTTCTGTCCATCCCACATTATTCACTTCAGAAGGCATTGCATTATTTATGGTCAAAATATTATCGTTTTCGTATTCATTATGTAAAGACATAAACAAAGTTTTCCTTCTGGAATCTTTTATCCGGGTTTCTTCCAACATTGGCACAATATTTTCAATATCCTGCTCTTCTTGAATTTTTGTATGTTTCAAGCTTCGTCTGTTTTGAGTTTTTCTAGAAAAATTGTGCTCTTTAAGAGGGCTAGTTTTAAATCTGATTCTTTTTTCTGATAGAGTTCTGGAGAAGCTATGCGGCTTTTTAATTTTATCTACTTGAAGTTTGGTACTTGTTGGTAATATTTCTGAATCACCACCACAGCTGACATAGTTTGGATCATCGTTTTCTTCATAGGATGATTTTTTAGTGCTGGAACGAGAACTTCCACTACTTATTGACTTGCCACCTTCTCTGCATCTTTTTAAATATAATTCAGCCTGTTGAAGTTTTTCCATTGCAGTTCTCTCCATTATCATAAGCTTTTTTTCTTTAATTGTCAGTTTTCTTTCTTGCTCTTTTAACAATTGCTCTTTAATTTTTAGCCCTGCTTCTTTTCTTCTTAATTTTTCCAGTTTTTCTGAATATTCTTCAAACATATTTTCTGTATGCAATGGTCGTTCTACATTTTCAGAGTCATTTTCTAGAAAACAGCATTCCTTAGTCCATTGGCTTGAGTGCAACAAAACAATAGGGTGACATAATATTTTATTAATATGTTTCTTGATTTCACTAGAGTCTTTAATCATAGATATTATAAGTCCTTTAAATGCTGGTGTATAGTTTTGCTGTTGAAGTTCATTTTCAAATGATGATTTCTCAAATATTTTCAGAGTACACAACTCGTAAACTATAACACCAAGTTGACTCATTTTCACTTCTTTCTGCTTTTGATTATCAAAATTATAAAGTTTTATGTTAAAATCCGCAGTTAGAAAAATTGTTTCCAGATTTAATTGCCCCATAAAACATTCTACAGTTTTCAAAGTTAACGCTGTTTGATATAAAAATCTGCAAATCAAATTCTCGTGGAGTTGCCGGTCTTTTGCTTTGGATTCTGCATGGATAAAGTCAGCTAGAGTTCCATATTCACAAAATTCTTGTTTCAAATAAATTACATCGTTGTGCTTGACATGGTTCAAAATTTGTAAAATGTTTGGGTGCGTTAAGTTGGTGCGTATTTTGATTTTTTTTAGTAAAACTTTCAGTTCGTTTTCACTTAAATCACTACACGGGATACTTTGGAGAGTGTAAAGTTGGCCAGTTGTTTTATTTTTGACTGTGAATGTAGATGATAGGGTGTCGGTGGTATTTAATATTTCGTAGTCTGACAAAAATTCCATCTGAAAAAAAAATAAAAAATAATGTAGTTACTGAAGAAATACAGGCAGTTCTGATGTCTCAGAAAAAAATGCAAAACTAAATAGGTAGGTATTTGAGTAGGTATTTTAATTCTTAAGTTGAGTGTATGTTTTGTATCAAGGTAGGTAATAGGTACCCATATTATTTGGACAAATCACAAATGAAATATTTTCTTCTCAAATTATTATTAGTATGGTGTCTATATAAGTACTAATATGCCATAATGAATTCATAATTTTTGAAGTAGTCTCCACTGTGAACAAAAATCTGTGTGTTCATGAAATAAAAAAATGTTTAGGATGAGGATGTCTCCATAAATTTCAAAAATTACAACATTTTATCCATAATACAACTATACAAAACAATAAAAATATTACCAACCTTCTGTTTTATTCGTAAATCCTTCCAATAATTGAGATATTCACATTACCACTATCAATTACACACGTCAAAAAAATCACCGAATTTCACCCCCTGTGTGCTCTAACTAACCAGTAAATAACCGCAAAACGTAGTAACAAAAAATATTTGCTTTCTTGTTCGGGAGCCCTTTTAAAAACCGTTTAGATTCAAATCTTTTGTTGGTCCAGTAACGGTTGAGATTTCTTGGGTTCGCTGTTGGTACCTGCTTGAAGAGAGGGGTCAAAACAAGAAGGCACGTTCTTGTTATTGGGTGGGACCAAGATAAAATTCTTGAGTCTGTGTATAGCTGGTGGCTAAAGATGGTAAATAGCGTTGAAATCTAGTAGCAAAAGCAAGCCTAGTGGCAAAGGTTCACAGCAAAAATTGCCCAGTTTCATTGGCTTTAATTTACTGTAACATTTTTATGGAGATTTAAAGGCCCTTTTAAGATATGATGATGCCATAAAAGTATAATAAAATCGGTTGTAGAAGTTTTATATCTTTATTTTCTCTTGAATTTTTCCAATTCTAAGTAGCTTTAAAAAAAAAACATTTGTTGGGTATTTCTGAATTTTTATGAGGAATGATTTCATGTGATCGCAAGGGATACTCCTTTGTACCTACTTCAGTTCATGTTGCTAATGTGAAAAAAATAAAAATTATTCCTCATAATTCGTAGGTAATATATTATTCAGCACTTGATTTAACGTGTGTACCCATTTGAAAGTTTATCCCAAAACTGCGTACTGCGTTACTTCACTACTTCCTGGATCAAATTAGTTCCCAGACAGCGCACAAAATCCTAAAGACTTCCTTTTTAGGTCTGCATGGCCTAAAAGTGAATAATGATTTATGTATTGAAAAATGATTCAAAGACGTCTCGTTGAAGACGTCTTTCAAATGTCTTAGTCCTAAAGACGTCTTTAGGCAAACGTCTAAGTTTTATGACATAGGTTAAACGCTGACGTCTTCAAGATGTTTTTAAGACGCCTTAAAGACGTAAGCAAGACGTCTTGGAATGTCGTTCCTGGACGTCTTTAGGATGTCTACAAAAATTTCCCACAGAATTTCTCATTCAATTTTAGAAGTTACCATTTAGAATGCTACAGAACACTTTAGAACTTTAATAAGCCATTTGGAAAGTCGAAAACACTTGAAATTCAATTCAGAATTTCCAGAAGTATTTTGTAGCGCTTCAGAACATTTTGGGAATTTACCAAACCATTTTTAGAATGCCCCAAGGGGTCAACTACTATGCTTACAAATGTACAATGATTTCCATATTTGGCAATCACTGATCAATGAATCTCATGTATTTCCATCTCAAGAATTGCGACTGATTACCAATGATTTTTAGATATTTCTGTATGATTACCAGGTGATTTCCATTTTTTTCTGGGGATTCCTATATCATTCCCAATTGATTACGTGATTGTCTCGATGATTTCCTACAATCATCCGATTTCCAGCTGATTTCATTACGAAAACGATGTCTAATTGTTTAGCTTCGCATTGATATGACTAAAATAATTAGCCCGTTTTCACTGAAAAATTGGCAACTTCTGTATTTGCAACTTGCAGAGAATTTTAATTTTCATGGTTGTCCACACCCACACAGATTTTGTTGTGGAAATAAATACTTAATTGTTGAGCCCTATTACGTGTCTTCTGCATAAATATGGATCTAAAATAATGGATATTTCTTTGATTTCACTAGGATGTTCATCTGAATCAGAGACATCTTCAGTTAGAGTTTCACTCGACAAACTTACCCACATAACAAAATTGCATC